TTATGGCAAACATGACATAATGTTATTAGCCGTGTTAGACCTCTCGGGGTCTCGGGGTGTTAGACCTGCTAGTCGTCTTCTGTTACTCAGCAACCAATTAGACAGTTTACATGTAATATATTGGATTAGTAGTGGTATACTCATTGTTGCAATAAAATTTGTGGATGGAGTCTCTGGCATCAATCGCTCCCGTTTGTGGGATGCGCCCCGTATTCGACTCCCATTTGTAATCTTAGTAGTGCATTGAATGAGTATGTGGTCAACACAATGAATTGCGGCGGCCAGCCGACACACAATTCCACGCTTCTACCCTCCAAGACGAGTCTGATTCCAATTGGCCGGCCCCAGAGGATGGAAGGCCTGTTTGGACCGGACGAGTACCGATCGGGGATTCCTTTCTCGGACTATGCCTATGTGATCGGGCACCTCTTTTAGTTTATAAATTTATTTATCAATGTAAGTACCAACGTCAATTAATTGTATGGTTGGTAATGAGAACATTGATCACTTCCCTTTGGTATCGTGAGAGTTAGCTCAAGCTTCAGCTGTTGATGAGCATCTTCCAGGTCTTTTTATTTGAGCATACGTATATATTTAGCCGTCCTTATATACGTTCGCGAGCCAAAATTCTAGGTAGTAAAAACAATAGAGGCTGCTCCCTCTCAGGCATAAACAATACGCCCACACTGAATACACCAGGCGAGGCAGTCAATGGGGCATAGAAGTGGAACGAAAGTCACTTATCCGTAAAGTGCGTGAACATGGGAGGCTCGGAAGCGCCCAAGCGTATGCAAAACGTACCTCATCTCGGAAATCGATGGGTGATAATATATTCACAGGCACTTGATCGAAAAACGATCGAGCCAACACCACAATTGGGAACACTTCAGAACATGACGCCTAAAAATCCGGCATTTTCGGAATTGTGGATCGGCGTTGACGGCACAAGTAAATCCGAACTGACCTGGTCTGTATTAGCTGTCAGGACCACTTTTATCTGATAACGAACCGATCCAAATTGACTTTCATAGCTGCTGGGAACATTTTCTGGGATCATCACCTAGAATACGAGGTTCCTTGAAAAAATCCCAAAGAAAAGTTACACATACCTGCAAAGGGAACTGATGTTTCCCAGCAGGAATTGGCATATCCGGTGGACATAGCGCCACTTGGCTATGGAAATATAACTGAAATATGGGTATATATTTGAGGTAAACGTTCCAGCAGAAAAAAAGAAAGAAAATAGTAGAAGGAAATGACGTATAAATAAGGAATTAGAAATTTTACATCCACATGTTGGGAATGGGATAAGCCCGTGTTTGTATCAATAACTAACATATTTTTATGTTCGGAGACCAATTTTTCCTTGAAATAGGTTATAGATAGGGAGCCGTTGATTACGCTAAGAAATCAAAGATCAGGTGGGACGGGCACGTTATGCGATATAGTGATGACCGTTGGTCCAGGGCAGTTACTGATTGGATCCCTCGGAACTTTGAACGAAAACCAGAACGGCCGCCAAGGAGATGGTCAGACTTCTTCACGAAAACTCTGAACGAAAGGAATGTTGAACCACGTGCCCCTGAAGCGAGTACGATTCACTGGACCACTCTGGCTCGTGACAGGGACGAATGGAGATGTTAGTGGCGCCCGTTCGAGGAAATCGATGATCAACGGGACGACAGGCGACAGGTGACAGGGAGCTGGTCTACACAGAGGATATCAAGACAGCAGGAGGGTCGAGGGCCTTATCGTGGCTAATGATGTATGATAGTAAACTCTAGAGAGCCCGAAATGGTACAGGAAGAATGCTTGTTTCGAGGAGACGTACGAGTATGGAAAGGCAGTTAACAAGAACAGAATCGGAGTCAGGAACAGCCCCAGCTGCTGAGAGAAAAGCTGATTATATCCGAACGTAGTGAGATGGTAATAGGTGGTAGTGTAAGGCATAAAGAGCACGGGGCCTGGACAGCGCAAGTTCTGGTTCGAATCTCGTCCGAGACTAAAGAGCGCATATGCGTGAAGGTATTAAAGAAAAAGGATGGGTGGATTCCATGAGGTTCCAGATAGTGAAGTTTTCACAAAAAGTGTTGAATGGAAGTGTTTGAAGAGCGATGAAGATGGTGCTTGGGACAGTTCAAAGAACAAAAACCGGAGGAGCTTGAGCTCATGAGCGTAGAAAGCTAATTAGTTTTTGAGCAGAAGTATCCATCAGTCAACGAAACGTACGGAACAGGTGAGTGTAATGAACAGAAAAAGGTGTCTTGACTTGATGTTTTTGTTAAGCGCTGCTTAAGTGCCGCAGTACGTGAAGTAAAAGTCTCACAAGTTTGGCGATTTATGGACAAAACTTCAGTCTCAGACGGGGCTCGAACCCGTACTTGTGCTTTCCGGACACCGTGCTCTATCCCTTGCACTACCGCGACCCCGCTTGTCCTCGCCTTCCAAATGGCTTATATGCCATAGCTTATGAGCACTCCCACATACAACGTTTTGAGCCGGTTGGTCAGAGTCATAGAAAAATGTGTCATTTGTATATTGTACGGTCTGGGATTGGAATCATTGTGAACTAAGCGTTTGTATCGTAAAAATAACCGCTACGGAAGCTGGCCGGTAGGGTTTAGACAGCTCTACGACACAGTATAGAAGCAAAATCGGCCAGGTACGGCAGTACTGCCTTTGTTCTATACATCATGAGAATAAATGGGAAGTAGATAATGTTAGAAAAATTTTAACGGATGAAATGGAATTGTAAAGCGATAAGAAAAATCGAAAGTTTAAAATTCTATTGAAAATATTCAAAACGACGAATACAACAAAAAACATGAAAACAGAAATTACAAAATCAAAAGTATAACTGCTGAAAGATAGGAAAGCTGCTTGAGATCACCTTTTCTGTTTCAAATATCTTATCGGTGTGAATATTCACCCAACCCGTCCGGCCAACTCCTTTTATTTCAGCGGTTAAGCTGTGAATGACCGTATCAGGATCAGCCGAATCTAGGAGTACCTGAAAATTTCAAGAATGTTGCCATAGAACTTAGGTACCTCGAAAACCTTAAAACTCAAAAATAGAGTTAAGAATTAGACGTTGGGTACGAAAAATTGGACATCAAAAATGGCTGATATATTGGGAAAACGTTAGGTGGCCTACTTAATTACTTTTGGATCCGCTTTTTGCAATATGAGGTATAATAATAAAGGTTACATAATTTAACGAAAATAAAAAAGCCCAAAAAATCTGAAGAGTCTGAACATTTACTTCCTCAATATTTGCGAAGTTTTTTTCTTTGTAGAGGCGAAAAAAGCTCAAGGCAAACAAAAAAAGGTTTTCTTGAGTTCAAAAAAAAAAGAGAAAAGGGCATCCTAAAAACAAAAGTAGTGTTTTTTGGTGCATTCATGAGGTAATTATGATGATACCTACCCGTGCATTAAGAAATTCTCCGGCCAATACTCGTGGTTGAGAGACTACGACGTTCAGTTGGGTGGTCGGCATCTGCAATGATGGCTGACGTCTGTCAACATATCAAATAACAAAGCTAAGTGTAAGAAAAATAAATTTAGTATGGAACAGTTGAAAAAGATGCGGATCCCATTTGAGGGAAAGCTTAAGAATCTGATGAGGTGAAGAACCTTGTCAATCCAACAGCTATTCACTTATTCAATTCAGTTATTTTGCACTGAAAATGCTCTCGAAAAACCGCTTCGCATGAGTTTTTTCGATAAAAATCGCATCTCATCAAACATTATTTAGTTTGCACTGCTTTGGTAGATCTTATAGCGTGTATAGTCGACTAGTGAATGAGAAAAGGCCTTTTATCTTGCCCTAGTATGCGCCCCGCATTCGACTTGCATTCAGGACTGCAGGAGAAATGAGTCGCTTGTATCATACATACAATCACTTCTGCATTCACGGCGGTACACCAATCAGTCTTTTTATCAAATCTATAAAGGAGGCTCCCCTTTGAAGGCAAGTGTTCGGCTTCAACGAGGTTTTATCAAAGATGAAAGATCATGTCCGTTGTAGCTGAGTAGTAGGTTCGTCCGCTTATATCAGGCTGTGCTTCCTCCTGAAGGCCGACCCGTTGCATAAGTGTAATGGGTAGGCCAACTTTCTTTACCCCCTTTCCAAGATCACTTATTCATTTCTAAACACAACCAATTCGAAGGGAGAACGCCCAAAGTTACTGTAGCTCCACAAATTTATCAAAAAGCTTCACAGTTGGACGTTGGACCCCCTCTTAATGTGTAACAAAACTTAATACGTAGTGGTTGTTACCTAATAACGAGGTGTGGACCCAATTGAATCCTCGTTTTATTATAAAAAGAATGCAAGTCCCGAGCCCTAATCGACCCCGTCTGAGAGATGAGCCCTCGCTTTCGACTTCCATTCAGAATCGTAGTGGCGTAATGAGTGTGTATGTGGCCTATACAACGACTTGCGATGGCCGGCCGATGTACAAGTCAGTGCTTTTACCCTCTCAGATGAGTTTTGTACCAATAAAGCGACCATGGGAGGATTCCAACCCCGGGAGTGGGGGTTGAGGGTCTAATTGGCCTATGCGGATATCGATCTGGGACTCGAACTCGTGACTATGCGTGTGTGATAAGCGCCACTTGCCACTACACCACCTCATATGTTAATAAACTTAACTGGCCCTTATGGTTTCTTGTGGCATCTTATGAAAGTAATACAGAACTTATGAGGAGGCTACATCGTAAATACGAAAAGGATTGGAAACCGAATGACTCTCGCTTTTCACCTTCACCTGCCAGCCTCTATCAGCTGCTCAATTTCTGTCACCCGTTACCTGCGATCCAGTCACACCTCACATCACACATTGAAGTAGACAAGCTCCGTTGTTGACACGAAAGAGGAAGCGGTCCCTCATCAGTTGTTATGAAGTGAGTTATGTGAAAAATAAAAAAATGGAGGTTTGGTTTCCAATAATGTCTACGGAAAATTCTTCAGTTGTAACGATTCGCATAGACAGAGTTGGAACACAGTTGACGAAAAGTCATCAAATGTTTATAAGTCAAGTGATTCGAGAAGATTGGAGAAAATAAGAATAGCTGTCAACTAATTCCTTCAAATGCAGAAAAAAACTTGACTCATGCTGAATCTACTGCCAAGAAATGACTTGCTGAAGAGCTTTGATTTCTCTATGCGGTGCGCTATTACTCAAACATGGTCCCAACTTCGAATCTCGAATCGATATCTTTAGGACAACCAAGTCTCCATCTTTCCGGGATCGGTCTATTGATACCAGACTCCTTCGGGAGGATAAAAGCACAGAGTTGCACATCGGCCATGGTGATTCAATGTATATAGGTCGCAAGCATCCAATGCGACACTTCGATTCTGAATGGAAGTCGAATGCGGGGCGCATCTATCAAGCGGAATTGATTAAAGTTCAGATACTTAAAGAGGACTTCAAATTGGGAACAGATTGATTCTTAGATGGGATGTGCTGCCAAACCCTGAGATCTTCATTATATCTTGACCCATAGGATTTCATTCCACTGTTGATTTCATAGCTGTGAAGTTGTTGACACCATTTTGGAGAGGATCAAATAACCGATTTCTTGGGGATGCTGCTTTGCTCCGGAAACCCTTGCTCTACTCACTTTCACAGGAAATACTACTTTGTTCTAGGGAAAAGGTTCTGTCGGCAAGGCTTCTGTACCACGTAGAAATGAAAGCCTTATGCACTACTATGGCTTCCGAGATGTTGGGATCGGAAAGTAGCAGGAAAGTGAAGATGACATGAGCTATGATACGTGAGACATATGGAAATCGATACTTAAGCACTTTTTAAAAATATTTTCTAAACAATGGAAAGAACTCTTCCGTACTGAACCCCTGTTACTTCCTCTATCAACAAAGATCTGTTGATCTTCGCCGATCTGTTTTTATGTCATGGAAATTGTAAAGCAGAGAAAAGGTATCGGCTAAAATCCAAAAAAATCCAAAAAAAGTAAAGGTAATGCTTGTTATGACTGAGTGCAGGAGAGGTAAATCAGTGGCAAGGGAGAGGGAGGATATAGAAATCATGAAAATGATGATGAAGCATATCTACAGGGCATAGGTTTAACCACGGCCTGCTAAGCTTTCATGCTTCCATGGTCAAAAAGTTGGTTCTGAAAGTTGTCTGATTGGGAGGAAACTAAAGCATTGGCAAAAAGTCCACTAAAATAGCGATTTTTGGGCTAAACGTCGGCCTCCGACGGGACTCGAACCGCATTTGTGCTTTCTGGGCACATAAGAATATCAAGTCGATATACTAGCCTAAACTTTATACGAAATACTAGCCTTTGCTGTTAGATTGAGGAAAAAAGTTTTGTAGGAAGGAAGAAGCCCCTAACGATTCTCATATCAGTAAACTCTGACTACGGTCGAATCTATTCTATCCCATGCTTTTACCTTTTCACATCTCACAGTGGGAGAATCAAATCTGTCATAAACAACTTTGGCGTAACGGAGAGACCTAGACTGTACTTCAGTAGACAAAACTGATTGTAATCGGAAAAATAACAAAAATCTAGCTTTAACAAGATTGGCTTGAAGCTATCACCTTCCAGGTGATCGATGAAAGGATGGAAAAGCCAATATGACATGAAATAATGAAACATGATAGTGTCGTGAAAGCCCTTACAATCGAAGGCTTCCGCTAATGGGTTCTGAACATTTCTAGCCCTAAAAAGGTATCAATGCCTAGTGCTCTACCTAGACGTAATGTGAAAGCGTGCTCTCATCATCAAATGGGTTCGGATAGGACTCGAAAACGACTCAGACAGGAAATAAAGCCATTATTTCGATGAAAGCTATTATCCTTCACGAATAATCAAATGAGACACCGATGACATTATTCTAGGGGACCATCCATGTTCGTTCCAAATCGACTGCATCTAATCTAATCATCTCTTTATTCTACATTTTATTATTACTAATTGATTCATATTGCGTCTGAATTTAGTCGAGACCGCCAGCGATCGCTGCATAAGGTCTAAAGTATAAACCCTCTGGGCCCTAATTAATCCCGCATGAGGGATGTGCCAATGCATTCGACTTCCATTCAGAATCGTAGAATTGAGTGTGTGTGTGTGGCCGATACAGTGACTTGCGGTGGCCAGGAGATGTCCAAGCCAGGGCTTCGTGCCCAGTATCAATTACACGACCCCTAACTATGCGTTCCTGATGGGGTCCCACTTGCCACTACACCACCTCTTCCATTTAGGTTATATACTGAATAAAAACAAGAGCTAAATGGAAGTCGTGCCTGGCCGACAAATAAAGAGCTGTTCTACTTCATTTTTGCCACTCCTAGCTACTGTTTGCTCACCATCAGTAGTCCTTAAAACGGTTGAAATGACACCCACCTCCCCTCCTCCCTCCAACATACCACAAGCTCATAAAAATACCCTGTAAACGGCTTCATTTATTTTGAAGAAATGTCCATCACTTTGGGTTACCAGTCAATGTAAAACTGTAAAAAATCTAGAAGGTTTAGTACCCTAGCAATTGCGTTGCATTTCCTGTTGATTTTCACACCCTACGACCCTACCGATTGAACCTTCTACGCTCGGAACCTTCCACACCGGAATCTCCGGACATATATAGCAATGCTTATTACCCCAATGGCCTTATACAAGTAATGAATGACGAATGAATGGCTAGTCAAGCATGAATAATCACACCCACGTTGCTCTAGTGAATTGTTGCAAGAAAAAAATGTTAGCGACCAATCTCCTGTTCGTTTTACATCAAAGGTTCTTACTAATGGGAATTTTCAAAATCGTTTTCGTGGTGAACTGTGCCTTCAAACAATCTACTCGCTTTTGTCGAGAACAACTCATAAATTAAGTGACCCCACTGCTACTGCAGCCTTTTAATTCCAGCATTTTAATGCCAGGCTTTCAAAATTCGGTGACCTTCAGATATGAAAGCCCCATGTGCTACTGAAATTTTTTAACGGGGGAGAGTCTTTATGTGTGAGTGAGTGGGAGGGAGGGGAAGGGGAAATTTAGCTCCCAAGAGTACCAAAAAGGGAGGCTGACAACTACCTGTCTTCCCTGGTAGTGACGTTAAGGCTTGAGTAGCGCCAGGGTGTCAGGGGAATGGATGAAAAGCGCAACATTCCTCTGTTGGATGCATTTGGACGAGTTTCCTTGGGAACTCGATGGAATGCACAATTAGTATCATCACTGGACAAGGGATGGCCCTCACGTTTGAAAGGAAGCGTCTGAGGTGCGAATGATGAAGCATTTGCTTCTTCCTGCAGCACGCTGCATAAACGGAACTGATTTTGCCCTCATAGTACGTTGGATTGCCCTTTTCAGAGTTTAAAAATATTAGCACGTGACGCTTCAGTTGAGCAGTCAGACATTAGTGAAATCGTCGGCTTTCATGTTTGCTTCGGCTTCTTCCCAAGGAAACAAAAAGAGCCTAAGGCGCTATAAACCTAAGAGAATCCTCTGCTCAGCAACTTTACCAAC